AACAAAAGAGACAGAGAGAGATAAAAAAACTACCAATGATCCCAGTCAACAACACACAGCAACAACAAAAAAGGAGAGAAGCTTACCAAAGAAGCCTTGACCATCGCCGGAAGCACTAAACATCGCCGGAGAACAGAAAATACCGAAGGTATTTTCATAGATTTACTCCGATTAGGAGTGTTTTTGGGGAAACAAAGGTCGGATTCGGTCTTAGGGTGTTTAGATCTACATTTTAGGTGAATTTGGGGAATTTCCGACCACCGGAGGCGGTGGTCGGCGGCAGAATTTGCGGCGGCAGACGGCTGTCGGATTCCCTCCGGTGAGGGAATATAGAGAGAGGCCAGAGAGAATTCTGGTTCTCTCTCTGTTTGAGAGAGAAAAAAAAAAAGAAAAATAAGATAGCTGACCCGAAGGGCCAGCCGGTTTGGGCATTAAATAGCCCTTCCCAAACGATGCCGTTTCGGGGAGGGCTATTCGTGTAATTAAATAATAGTTAAATCCTTTCCGCAGTCAGCCTAATTTGTAAACTTTACATTTTAGTCACTAAATCAATTAATAATCCTTTAATTCGGTTCTTTAATTGTAATTTTATTTATTTTAGTCCTTCGTATTAAAATAATATATTTAGGATAAATAACAGATTTAATCCTTTAATTTTAATAAGTAATATTTTGATCCCTAGTTTATATTTTTAATTTATTTTAATCTAATATCCGAATTTTATATAGTTTTATTTTAGTCATTAAATTAATAAAATAAAAAATAGTATGTTTAATCCCTATAATTTTGATTAATTATGAATTAGATTTTTTAATCTTAATTTTATTATATTTTAGTCACTAATTTTAAATGTTTTCATTTATTTTACTACTTTTAAATATATCGTTCTAATTGTATTTTTATTGTTTTATTGTTTATATATTTAAATACTTTTATTATTATAGTTATAATAGATATAATAAATAATTATTTATATATATTTTTAATAAATTATTTAATATTTTTTTCAATATCGAAGAAAATGACAGTCTTAATACAACTGGATGTCCTATTCTGGTATTTTAAAATTAAAAATTAAAAAATATTATTTAATTTAAATAATATTTATCAATATCAAAGAAAGAGCTGTCTTAAGGCACCTAGAAGTCCTTTTCCGATATTTTTAAGTATTTTTTATATAATTTTGAAATAATAGGATTATAAATTAAATATATTTTGAATTTTAAAATTTAATAATAGAGACAATTTATAATTAAAAAGTATCAATTTTGGGCGTTGTAGGGGTGCTAATCCTTCCCTAAACGTAACCGACCACGAATCCCTTTTTATTATTAAAAAGAACGAATTTTTGGTTATAAACGCAGATCAGTTCATTTTTTAACTGATGTTTTCTTAAAAACTCTTTTAAAAGATAAATTTTTTATGTATTCGACCTACCTGACCTAAAAGGCCGATGGCGACTCCCAAATTATTTTTAAAAACCATTTATTCACATCAATTTTTCCGCCAAATAAATATTTCGTGCCTGGACGAAAACCGGTTACGACACACTGGAATTGAAAACTTATTTTTGATTGTTTGACTATTTAGTTGTCGATATTCAACAAAAAAAAAAAGCCAAGAATAATCTTTCTTTTTGACAAGCAAGCAGGGGAAGCCAAATGGACTTTTGCTCGCTTAAATAATAGAAGTGGACAACCTTTGGACAATTTACTTTTTCAACCTCAGTCTTTTGATGGTAGGGAAATCGATAAGGACACATTCATATGAGAGTAGCCTGGTTTGAGTGTGATAGGATGGTCGTGAGCTCGTGGTGGTGGCAGAGTAGTAGTTTCTTCAAAAAGGCCTTTATATTCATCCAATAAAGGCTGTAATTCCATGGGAACTTGAGTGTATGTGCCTTCAACTGTTAACACATAAATTTCCCCCACTAGATTCAGATCTCTTGATGTCCTTTTCTACAGTTTATTCCTAGTAACAGATTTCAAAATCATAGGAGCATTTTGGCCTTGAATCACCATATGTTTCCCTCATTGGAAAAGCTCAAAGTCATTTCATTAAAATTCATTAGAATAGGGCTATATTTTTTAATTCAATCGACCTTAAGAACCATGTCATAATCCCCAAGTTGAAGGATTCAGAAGTCATGATTAAAGCAATGTCCTTGCATAGTCTAGCTGACTTGATTTGGTTTTGCTGAACTGAACAACTTTTCCCCAATCGCAACTGTAATTGCCAAAGGTTGAGTAGAGACTGATTCAACCCATGCTTTGGCCCATCTTGGAGTTAAAAAATTGTGCGTGCTTCTGTTGTCAATCAAAATATTGAGTGGTCTACCTTCAATTCTCAACGTAATGTGTCCTATGCTCCTAGTAAGAGCATTAACAGAAATTTAGAGGAGTTCGTTAGTAGGGGCTGGTTGTTCATCAGTTTGTTCTTTTTGTTGGCTCACTACCTCTGTTTCTTCATCCTCTTCCATTATATTTAATTGCCTCTATTTGCATTAGTGCCCCCGGAGATAATTTATTACCGTATTTGAAACACATTATTAAGTCTGCAATATTCTTGTATTGGAGTTTTGTTTAGCACTAGAATGTTGGGTTTTTGGACATCAATAACATGAGTGGATCGTGGAAAATTTGTAAGGGTTGGGTAGGGTAGAAATCTATTCCCTATTTTTTTGCCTCATGTTTTCAAATTCAATCAAAACTTCATATAGCTTTGCTCGTCTAAAATCTTCTACCACACCATTGGGTGCAAGAACCTTAACTCAATGCCTCAATTATTCCTTCAATCCATTTACGAACATGGATTTGTATCATCAAAAGATGATAATTCTAGTTTAGGCCTGGGTAGCATGAATCCATTATTCCCAAATGACAATCATTGAGTTTTCCTCTCCTCCATACACTCTCATTGGTGTGTCTTAGTCCCACTATTATCACCATTTTGTTGATTTAATTAGAAATCAGATGGTTTAGATTTGATGATACTTGGTTCTTCTAGGTTGTAAGAAAATATGGATTTATCATTTATAACTGTCACCACCATTGATTTCTTTCCATATGCTTTTATGGGAGTATTTTTTTGTAATTGCTCACTATCTGATTGCCCTTGCACATCTTTTCTTCCTGTCAAAATTCGCAGGATTTGCTCTACATAGCCTTGGTTGGTTGTCATCCTTGATATCATGTTGCTTATATGATTTTCTAATGTCTCCTACCGTTTTGGAGGTTAGTCTCATCAGTTGCTTGTTTCATGATTTTTACCAAATCTTCGATATGTTGTTGCATGTCCGTGAGCTCAATAGAATCACCCATTTTGATTCTTCTTAGTCTTACCCGTCTTGCACTTGCTAGATTTTAGGCTCTGGATACCAAATTTTTATGAAATTCAAGAGAAAGATAGAATATCGGGGGAATTAAGAAGAGAAGAAGATAAATTTCAGAGAAGGAAACTTTCATTCAATAATCTCATAATTTATCCTTTGCAATACAAGTTTTTAATTGTTTACAATGTACCAAACATGAGGTAAATACATGTGTTTGTCCTTTCTCTAACAATTATAACAATTCTATGCAGGTGCTGTGTAGATTCATATTCTCGTTGGGCTGAAGATTGCATCAGGCTTGTGTCCAGCTTCTCCTCTTTAATGAATATGTGCTTCCATGTGAATGGTCCATGTTTTCCTCACGTGCTTCTACTTGTCGTTTGTCATTAGCATCAATTGAATTTTTTTCTTAATTTGATTACTCCAATCTCTAACCCTTGATTCTCTAAAATCGTCAATTCTTTTCCTTCGAGTCTTTCCTTTTCTCTCTCAACCATGACATTGATGTAGTCATAACAGCTGAGACGATATTTGTTAATTTAGAAATTATACAATAAAAATGAAGGTCAATTTGATATTATTTAGAAAAATATTTTTGAAAGGTAACGTTAGAAAGTGATTTTATTTTTTTTTAAAAAATTAATGATTTTAATATTATTATTGTCATATCACTCATCGTCACCGCCGACGAGACTGCAAACGTTTATCCTTTCAAATGTCGTATTGAACTATGCCATTGGCCCAACGCCAACCTTAAAATACGAATTCCAATTGAAACCGAGTATTCCAGTGGATCGTCCAAGTATACCATCACACGGGCCTCCAGCCCCATCGAGAAAACCAGTTTAGAATCTCGTTTTCCTTTTATGTTTAGCATTGTTTTGAAAGGTATTTCTAATAATTTATGTGAAAAACTTTAAATATAATATTATAAAATAAAAATAGATTAATAATGATTGATTATATATTAATTTAATTAACACCATTATTATTTTGTAACATATACGATAAATGAACTCAAGTATATCCAAATATATCAGCTATTCCTGTGTATGAATTTTATTTTTTCGTGATAATGGTGATTAGATGGAGATGTTGATGAGAGCAAGAAACCATGGTAAAGCATAAACCATACCGTAGAGGATAATTAACTCCTTTCTTGCCGAAAACAGTTCTGCGCGCTACTTTGTTCTGCTATTATAGTACGTCTGAATTGCAGCACACGTTATTGTCATTTCCATCAACTCATTCCCTCTTTGCCAACATTTTCCCGGCTTTTCTCCCTTCCCAAACAAGGTTTTAGGGATTCCTTTTCCACTCAAAATTCAAGTCCTTCTCCCTAACGTCTCCCATTTTCAAAGTTCAAACTCTCCTCAAGTACCTGTTACTCTCAGGTTTTTTTCACCCTGTTCTTTTTCCCTCTTTGGCTGAGTTTTCGTTTGTTTTTGGTCATTTATGTTTACATATTATTACTTGTTTAGTTTTATTGTTTGAGAAAATGAAAGGAAAACGAGTTTTAGGTTTATGGAGCTCACTATTTTTCTTCACATTAAACTTGAAAACACTACTTGTTACGTTATTATGTTATGGTGCTTATTGTTCCTTTTAAAAAAAAAAGTTTATCTGTATACTTTAATGGCATATAAGGGAAATATTGTTACGTGTTATCAACTTTTCATTTTCTTTACGTTTGCAATATTTTAAGACGAATACTGTGAGAATTTGCTTGAGTTTCGCTTGATTGTTTTGTTATTTCTTGCGCATGAACCTAAAAGGTACATTTGTATTCAGAACTATTTCTTTTAGTTATTTATAATGATATTCTTTTTTTTATGAAATAAAATAGGCGATTTTGTTTTGTATGAGATGAGCTTATTTTATTTTCACTGTTTTCTCTTCTTTCTTTGCTCAGTATTTTGCCAATTTTCAATCAACAAAAATGCTAACAGTTTGCTTTAATGCTCAATTTTTGGACACGACATATTTGCTTGTTTTGATGCGGCTTTAGCTCTCTCTTTGTTTTTCAGATAAGGAATGCCATCCTCTGACGAAGAAGGTGAAATTTGTCCAGAAATCCATGTCTCAGAATATGCTTTTGTTAATCAATACGGTGAGCCAATTTCATTTTCTGTTTTGCCTCTCCAATGGAGTGAAAACGAGGTCATTGGCCAGGATAAAACCGAGGTTTTCTTAGACGGGGTTGCTGACGATGGTCTTATGAAGATTTACAAGCAAGTTGTTGCGTGGAAGTTAGAGCTATCCTATGCTCTACCTGAAATTTTGGTGCTCCTCAAGGACAAGAAATGGATAACACTGCAGAAGCCTAGGAAGAGTTTCGGAAGTACGATTAGGACAATCCTGATTACCATTCATTGGTTGCATTTCATGAAAAAGAACTCAGAGGAATCAGCAAAATCTGTATGGAACCACTTGAGGAACGTCTTCAGGTTGCTCCCTACCAAATGAATCTGTTTTTGTTCTCTTTGTTGCGAGAAGTTTTATATTTTCTTTGTTAGTTTATTGTTAAATGATGGTTTAATGAATGTGTTAAACTATTTTTCATATTACTTATTTGTTGGAAAATAGACACGTCAAACGGTTCCTACCTGATATGGAATTCTTTATATTACCAACATTATTTGTGTGTCATGCAGCTTATATGAGTTTGAGCCTTCAGAGAGTGACCTTTTGTGTCACAAGCTGTTAATTCATGAAGCTGTGAAATGGGATAAAGACCTAGAAAACTCAAAGGTTTGTGCTACGTGGACTTATATATGTGTCATGTCATGACAATAATCTCTTATTGGATTTGTATACATCAGGGTTTCAAATTGCGGTCGTGTTTTCGGTTATTTCGAATTTACCATGATTGCGGCCGTCGTGGGCGCTATTGCGGCCGCCGCGGACTCTATTGCGGCCGCCGCGGGTAAATCGGACAGTGACGAAACCGCTATATCGCGGTCGCGGACCGTTTTTTAAAACCCTGGTATACTTAATAAAATTACCAAAGCATTTACACTAGCTAATCCGTTAAAATCCATATATGCATGTTACTCACATGGATGGTATGATATATCATATGTATCTGTCATCAGTTCGGGGATGTATCTTAATATAAAGATGCTAATTCTTGGACCTAAAACCCTTTATTCTAACCAAAAAGAAAGAAGCCATTAATCCCGAGTGACAGAATCTCTTTAATTGTATGGAGTTTCTCTCTCTCTCTGTGCTGTTTCCTTTTCTTTTTCTTTATTTGATATGTCTTGGATGGCTATAACTGCTGGAACCCTCATGTTAATGTTTGTCTCTCTCATTGGGACCTAATGATTTTTTTTCCTGTGCTGAAGTGTAGAAGTTTCATTTTGTTAGAACATAATCTGGGAAACATTTTTAGTTGGTTTTATTTATGTGAAATCTATTTTAGCTCAGCAATGGAATTTGTTCTTTACTGATAAAATTGGCCTTCTATAGGCAGTGTAGTTCAATGTGCAATACCATTACTCAGTTGCTGTATAAACAAGCTATGGATTCAACCCAAGGATTGATAAAGCTTGTTGGCTTATCTCTTTGCACTTAGTTGTTGGATAGTTCCTTTTTTGCGAGGTTATGCTAATATGTTGCAACTACTACCTAAAACATCCTAATGTTTGCTCACTTTCCAAATGGAAATTGCATAGTTAACTTTTGAAGTAGAATTTGTTAGCTATTCTCACCCCCCCCCCCCAAAACAAAATCAATTTAGCAAGTTACTTCTAATATGTTTGTCTACTGTCAATTGTATTAGAGGTGCCTGTATCTGCAGCCTCTACAAGCATATAATATATGCATGCTAACTTGCTCAAGTAATTTGTTTGAGTCACATGCTCTATGCTCATGTGCAATATGATATATGAAAACTGATAAACAATTTATCTTGAACAGAATGTAATTAACTTTCTGCAGATGCCTCAGAGGAATATAACTTTGCATCAGGTCTGCAGACAAGTTTCTATTAAATCTTGGATTATTACCGTTACATGCTTTTACTCTTTAAGTTCTCTTCTTTTCTCCCCATTTTACTCACTATACTGTATAATTTGCTCATGATTTAACAGGATGTCATTGTATTCAAGAAAGATAAGTTTATAGTTAATGGAGATGAAGGTCTAGATGATGATGATATAGGTGAAGAAGTTGGTGGTGCGGGGAAGTCCATTTTTGATCCTGTTTGTGCAATTTGTGATGATGGTGGCTACATTCTGGCGTATGCCCTAACCTTTTGGTTCTGGATAATTTGTTGGTGAACTTTTTGGTTTTGGTTTTAAATCTTGTTACCTTAAACTAGATATTTTGGTGGTGTATAACCATATCATGCATGGTTTTGGTGTTCCTTGACGAACTAATAATTTTTTTGATCATTTGGAATACTAGAAGGCTCTCTAAAATATATCAGTACACTTAATTTTGGATGATTCTTGGATGATAGCAGGATTTGAACCAATGATTGAACCCTTTTGATGTAAAACAGCATTGAAAGCAATGAGAATATTGGAAAATTGGAAAGGAATGACTAGACTTCATTGTTTTGATCATCAGCTTTGACAATGATAATTCCTAGACAATGTTTTGGTTTCACCATACAGACAAGACTATATCTTTGACTTTTAAGTCATGAAGATATAAGGTTTGTCAAAATTATATGCATATTTCTTGGAATTATGGAGTAATCTTTTTGTTTTGGTTAAAAGAGTAATGGGCTTTTGGTGAATTAGTATAAGGTTTGTCAAAATCATATGCATATTTCATGGAATTTATGGAGTAATCTTTTTGTTTTGGTTAAAAGAGTAAAGGACTTTTAGCGAATTAGTCAAGATTTACTTATTCCTTCAAAAAATTTCCTTTCATTTTGGTATCAAATGCATTTGTTGAGGCAATTCCATTCACTTGCATTTGGACCATAATTGAATATTAAAAGTTGTTTCTTCCAAACTAGTGAATAGGTAATAGGTCCCAAGTGAAAAATGTCGCTCAAATCAATTCAGGTAAGGCACATTTAATCAGGTATACTCCTCGATAAGGGATTCTTTTTCAGAACATGTAGACCATAAAATTGCCTGCCTGATTTAGGTGCCTTTAATAGTAAAAAGGAGGTAATATCAACTTCTCTATTTCTCAATGTTTGAGTATTCAATAACAAGAGCAAACACATTTGGTCAGTTGGTCAAGCTGCTCATCTTTGTTCACTCGTATTCCCTTAGGTCATGGGTTCTAGACTCACTAGGAGCACTCCCCTTCCTTCCCCTCCCCTCTAGGTAGGATTAGGATTATATTTAGAATTTGTCAAGAAAAAAAGAGTATTCAATAACAAACATGGAATGTAAGGAAATCATGCATTTGGCCTAGAAAATAAAAAAGAAAAATTTTCTTGTCTTTGGAATACATTATATATTATGGCTTTCTTATTTTATGTCGGTTCATGAATTATACTTTGAGCAATTACATCTCTTTCCAGTTGTCTTAGCAAAGGTTACTGTTCCTATGTTCACATGTGAATCCAGTTGTCTAGTTTTAAAAAACCATTAACTTGGGCTTTTCGATTGAAAAATTATCCAACATGTATGCATTGACACTTTTGACATTGTCCTATGGTCTCAGTGTCTGACGTCTCTATGTCATCTTTGCTTGCCTTCACATTAATTTGTTTGTTGGAATTGATATAGTTTGTGAAGGAAGGTGCTTGAGGTCTTTTCACCCAACAAAAGCTGCTGGGATTGATACCTGTTGTGAATCTCTTGGCTTTGTCAATGATGCTCAAATTGATGTATGATCAGCTTTGTTGCCGTTAATATGTAATTTTTTGGTTCAGTTGCTCCAATTCTATTTACTTGTATGTTGTTGCCATACTTTTTATACATGTAGGCTATTCCGTCTTTCTTGTGTAAAAATTGTCTATGTAAGAAGCATCAGTGTTTTGCATGTGGTGAATTAGGCTCTTCTAACAATTCTCCCGGTCAAGAGGTAAGTGTTTTTGAGCTCTGAAAGAAACCAAAGATTGTCGCATCATTAATTTAAGTCTTGCTCTTGAATCATCATTCATCAAGGATCTTTTTGTTGTTTTTATGTTACATTTTAACATTGCAAGTATATTGTCTTTTTTTTTATTAAATGTTGTCAGTGGCGTTCATCACTACAGTTTAAATTTGGACTATCATTAATGAGGCCGTTTTTTTAAGGTTTTTCCTTGTGTTTCTGCAACTTGTGGGCATTTCTATCATCCAAAATGTGTGGCAAACTTGCTACATCCGGACAATGAAGCTGAGGAGAAAAAATTTAGAGATAAAATTGTTGCAGGGGATTCATTTACCTGTCCTACCCACAAATGCTTCGTTTGTAAGCGAAGTGAAGATGCAGAGGTTTATGATTTGCAGTTTGCTCTATGTAGGCGTTGCCCAAAGGCATACCACAGAAAATGTTTACCCAAGTACACTCACTCTAAGTCACTATTTTCAGTTTTCCAGAATCCCTTTTCGCAGACTTGATGTGTAGCATAGGTTGACTTCATTTGATGCTTTTTCTTTGTTTTCAGGAATATTTGCTTTGAATATAATAAGTATAAAAATAGTTTACAAAGAGCGTGGGAGAAATCTGCCCTATAACCGGATTCTAATATACTGCATGTAAGGTTTACTTTATATATAGTTCGCCCTTTTGGATAAACTAGTTAATTAACTCATGCATTATCTATCAATGACCATGTTGCTGCTTAATATGCTGACCAGGGATCATAAGATTATCAGAGAGCTTGGAACTCCAAGCAGAGACCATTTAATTTTTCCCGATTTTAAAAGGAAATGCAAAATGGATCTTTCTTATTGCGGAAATAATTTGGCCTCAGATAGAAGTGACATTTCTGGAGTTTTATTGACAAGTAGAAATCTTTTGAAAAAGCCAAAGCCGGTTCAGAAGGACTATGATATTCATGCTGGAGCTTCTAGTCAAAGAACTGAAAAATCTGTTCCAGACAAGAATTTTCTCCTTTGAGGAAACAAAA